TGTGTGCCTTGCCTGCAACACCAAATTAGCAATTAAAGTTCTAGGCCATACTTCAATGGGTTTAAACTTATTCCTGCAATATAAATTGTATAATTCTCGAGATGTTACAGGGAGCCACGTATTTATGTACTAAGCTTGTCTTTCATGCACGATGAAAGCATGTGGAAGTTGATTTTTGTTTCGTTCGTGAAAAGTTTGCACAAGGAAGACTGTCAGTTTAATTCATTTCAGCATGTGATCAAATTGCCGATATCTTCATGAAGGCAATATCTTCTGCACACCAAATTTACTTTCTTGAAATTTATTTTTCTCTTTTAATCTATTATTGTGATCAAGAATTTCATGGTTTCAACAAGTCTGCTGATAACAATCTTTTGTTGACATTGGAGCTTTTTTAGGTTGTGTAATTTGTTGAAGAAAAAGCAAAATATATGTCTAATGATTTCAGCTCTTGTTAGCCAATGCTTGGTGGTAAATTGATTCTTATGTGGTACCGGTTTAAGGGTTTTTTACTTATATGTCAAGTTCTTTACTTAAACTGGACAACTATAGAAATAATAATTATTTTTTCACTTACTTTGTACTTAATGATATAAAAGGTTAAGCTACTAACTGTTTATTAGCTTATAGTACGTTCAAATGTAGTTCCCTTATAGCTTCTTTGGCATGCATAATTGGTCTTCAATATGGTCATATTTTGATCGAATTACAGGAGTGAATCTCATTTGTATTTTAGATTATTCTCCTTGGTCAAATCTTGGTTGACCAAGTTTGTTGCATGGGCATAAAGATCAACTTTGCAACTAGCCCCTCGTCTCAATTCCATATCTAATTCTTGGATCCATACCTGCTCTCATAGGTATATATGCTTTTATAGTTTTTGTTTTCAATTTCCGAATAATATTCTAGAGTATTATTAAGTTTTTTTATTTTGTCAATGTTAGGTATTCCTTTGAACAAGGGCTTGTACATGATATTGTAAAACTTGGATGCTATAACAAAGAAATAAATGAAATTAGGTTGTTATTTCTGAAACCTGGTTATCTTATATCTTATTTTATTTTTACTAGATGTGTGTCCGCGCAAAGCGACGATGATAAATAACTCTTTTGATGAATAGTTTTGTTACGGTGAAATTATTAGATTCTATTATTAGTTATTATGTAATAAAAAATGACCACTTTTAAATAAAATATTCATATTTAGACATTATATTTATATTGCATGCATGTTTATACATTTAATGTAAATGAACTAATATCAGTGTCTACTTTATGAAATTTAAATTTATATATATATATATATATATATATATATATATATATATATATATATATATATATATATATATATATATATGAATTTAATAATTTAAAATAGTCATTTTGCTTCAAATTAAATTTATTAAAAACCTTCCTTAATTCAAGTATTCAAAGTTTTGGCAAGTATTAATGATATTTATGCATAATTGATTTGTAAAAAAAGCTCTATAACTTATAACTCTTAAAATTCAAGATATGATTAACATGCTTTATAATATAGTATAAGATTGATCTTGACAAGATATGAGGGCACATGTAAGAGCCCTATATCTATTTATAGGGACAATTTAGAGAATGTACACCTTTGGGATTGAAAAAGGGACACCTAGCATTATGGAGCAATATCAATAAAAACGTCATTATACAGGTTCAGTTTCTTTACCTTTTATAATAGAAAATCAAGTGTTATAATATTAAGTCAATAATCACTATTCGGGTGTCTATGATCTTTGTATTATCGTTTGTTTTCAACTTTATTTCAAATCATTTTGACATCATGTGACAGCTTCATATCCTTTTGGCATCATGTGATAGCTTGGAAAGAGAAAAAAAAACGACACTGTTGGATTTAATGGTTCTCAAAAGGTGATTCATTTTGTTTCTTATGTACATGTTAATAGTATGTCAAATAAAAGAGTTGGATTATTGTTTTTACTTTGTGTTCATCTTCAAATTTTATATTTCTAGCCGGTCAAAAACTAGGGAAACCATCAAAGCAAAACAAAATGGGATTTCATACAACAGATTGAATTTTAATCAAGTTGATTATAAATTTGATTTTGCTGGTTTTTCCACTTTGGTTGAGTATATGTGGTTGTTGGTGTGTACACGGCGGTTCAAATCTAAATTGCTTGACTCTACTTGTAATTAATATTCAATTTTGATGATTAGACAACAACGTAGAAGAATTTTCGAGGATATATATCTATAAATATGATGTAACTATTAAATTTATATTTACTACATTTTTATATATTTTTATGAATATTGTAATTGAAAATTTGGATTTTGTTGAACATTTTTATCATACTGAATTTGCTTTGGAACTTGTTGCTACGGGAAAAATCATTGCTGAACAAAGAACTACGAAATTCGCTATGGGACAAACAGCTATGGAACAAATAACTATGGAATTTGCTACAGAATAGAGGGCTACGGAATTCGCTACGAAACAGACGGCTACGAAATTTGCTACAAACAAATGGCTACGAAACAAAGGGCTACGAAATTTGCTACGGAATAGAGGGCTACAGAATTTGCTATGAAACAAGTTCCTAAGGAATTTGCTATGGAACAGATGGTTACGAAATTTGCTACGTAACAGAAAGCTACGTAATTTGCTACGGAAAAATATCTACAGAATTTACTATGGAACTCAAATTACAACGATATAGATATTGTAGAAACCATGATAGCAAAATTGCTACGGAATTATAATTTGGTAGCTAAATATTTTGATACAAGAAATAAAGCTACGAAGTTTAATTGATAAATTAGGTAGCAAATTCCATAGTTATTCAGCTTTAGCTACGGGATTTCAGATTTTTGCTACGGAATTTTTCTGTAGCTAAATTGAAATTTTCTTGCAGTGTGTATTAATTTGAGATGCATATTAGTTGTTTGATAAAACGCTTGAACTACAAGATTTTCAGAAACTACCATTGCCATCTACAACTGAACATGATTCATGCTAACCATTTGTTAGGGAAAGACACTAATCCTTCACAGTACGTATTTCAACTTTATTGTGACCATTGTTTGAGCTTTTGCATACAACATGCCCTAAAATAGAACCCTATAATCTCTGTTACAAGCTACTTATATCCTGCATGGAGAACACATCTTTGGTACAAGCACAATGTTTATTATAGAAATGTTTTCAGTATTCATAAAAAAATTCCTTTGCTTGCACTAGACAAGTCAAAAATTTGTTCAACATTACTATTGGAATGTCAACATTAGCCATTCATTTGATTGTTTTTTTTTCTTTCCCAGTGGGAGAGGATGGTAGTTTATAGTACAGAAGAGATTTGATGATGCGGTTAATATAGTTTGTTGATGCGGTTTTCTGACCGCACCAAAAAATATGGCACTAAAAAATAGTACTATTTGATGATGCGCTTTACAAATCGCATTAAAAAACACTAGAAACCGCCTTATAAGATATCAAAATTAAAATAACAAATCGCATTAAAAAATCAACAACCACTCTATTAAATATTAGCACTAAAAAATCAAAAACCGCCCTATTAAGTAATCGCACCAACAAATAAGGAACCGCTCTATTAAATATTAGCACCAAAAAATAAACAACCACCTTATTAAATAATCGCACCAGAAATCGGAAACCGCTATATATATATATATATATATATATATATATATATATATATATATATATATATATATATATATCACAAAAACAAAACCGCACTATAAAAAATAATATATCATTTAAAAATCATTAATAAGCAAAAACATAGTATTTAACAAAACTTCATTATACAAAAAACCAACAATTTCTAATTTACATTTTAGTTATAATAAAACACAAAACATTATAATTCTTAGAAAGTTCTTTTCCGACTATCGTTCACCATCTTAATTAAACGAGGTATTATTTCTGAGACCATATCTTCAAGTTTAACGGGCGTAACAAAACTCTTCTTTTTCCATAACTACAACAAACAAATAAACAATATATATATATATATATATATATATATACACACACACACACACACAAAATATTGATATTTTTAATCTATACAAAATACTTACTTTATTTTCAAAATCATGTTGAATGGTTTCAATAAACTCATTCATATGTTTTATTACTATAATTCCACATTCACATCCACCTTTTTGTTTGTAGCACTGTATTTAATTCACAATAACTATTTCAAACCACTTGAAATACATTGATAAAAATTAATAGAAAACATACCTTTAGTGTTTCCCACTTATTAACTCGTACCGGGAAAACATTATCAATGAAAGAAGGAAAGTGGTAAGCGTCTTTTTTCTTTTCTTGGTTCTTTTCACATAAAGAATCAAGAATATAACCACATTTGCTTTCAGGACATAGGATAAAAAGCAACCAATGCATACTACAAAAATAAGAATTATTTAACAAGTAAGTATATATGTGTACTGTGTATTTATATAAGTGTAGTGTGTATATGTATGTGGATGTATTATGGAAAGAAAAAAATTACCCCTGTAAATATGGAGCAAGAAAATATCGTTTGTCTTTATGATACGAAAATACTTCTTCGATATGTTTAGTGACGGGCGACAGGTCTGTTTTAGTATCTAATCGTGGAATGCAAAGCGGATAAAAAAAACACATTCGGAATTGGGCGACCTAAAAAGAAGCCTATATATATTACACAATGTTAGTAAAAATTAATTATATCTAAAAAGTTATAATACCATATTAAAAAATATAATAATAACTTACATTGCAAAGCAATGAATAACGCTTTGATCAAGCCAATCTCTTAAAAATAGTTGTAATACCTCGATATATTGGATGGTAATTTGAACCCTACGGCGATACATCCCTTTGGGTGAAAAAATATTAACAACATTTGCATTCCCAAAAAACTCTACTACTTGAAAACCAACAGATTGAATTTGAGGTCTTTGTTCTTGTAATTTGCTCAAGGATGTAAACTAGTCAGGTTCATCATGTGTAACGAATTCAGGTTCGGGTTTGGTTTTGGATTCGGATTCGGATTCAGATTCGAGTTCGGATTCAAATTCGGATTCGGGTTCGGGTCTGGCTCTGGGTTCGGGTGCATTTAAATGAACTTGTGGTGGATTCATAGATAACATCTACATACAAACACAAAACATTAGTAATTAGATATGATTATATACAAACATAAAACATCTAAAAAAAACATAATATGTCTAAAAATGAGCATAAAACAAGTTTTTAAGACTAATCATATCAACTAAACCACCTTGAAAATATTCATTAATTTCATGTTGATAAGCAATGTGGTTTTTCTCAAACTAAAATAACAAAAAAATTAAAAATTGTTATAATATTATCAAAATAATACTAAATTAACAAAAAATAGGAGTGAACTGGTTGAATACTTGTGGACGATAAACTGAAGTCGTCATGATGTCATCAACATGTATGTGTGGTGAGGCACGATTCGACCCCATTCCCGTGCCACTATTTGATTTGCTAGGTGTCTTGTTGGAGGAATTTTTTTGTTGCTCTTTTAATGCGGTTTTCATGGTTTTTAGTGCTACATTGATTTGATGAGGCGGTTTCCTAAAATAACCGGCTCAAAAAAAAAAATTGCACTACAAAAGCTATTCTGTACTAGTGTTATCATATGTTGTAAGTTTGACGATGATTATATATCAAGAAGAAAACAAAAGAGCAACTGAATGATGAACCTTTTGAAGCAGATCTGGTTTCTAGTAAATGTATATATATTATTTTCCACGATAATGCTGTTAAAATTTTATAAATCGTATGCATTTTGTGTTAAGGATACTTTGTCACTGTCCATTAATTCATTCCATTTATTTGAATTTCCATACCTCGGTACCAAACAACAAGTATTATTGACTTATTTGCATTCCATTTGAGTAACCAAACACGACAATCACATGATAATAATCCATCCAATTACTTCATCCATTCGATTACTTAATTCATTTCATTCCATCCAACCAAACACACCCTTGACACTTAATAAGTTATCATCTTTAACAATTAGTTTCCATTAACTTATTCACTTATTCATCAATATCTCAGGAGCTTGAAGGGACATGTAATATATGAAATACTTTTAGTTATCAAACTAGAATTCAGTTCTTAAATCTCACTATTCGGAATAACATATTCAATGTATAACTGTTGGACCGTAGATGCATCATTCCAAGATGCATGCTCGTTTCACTTTCCAAAAACAAGTTGTAAGTCATCTGTCTTCAATATCGTATTTTTTTGTTTTTGGATTGCCAAATATGTGTCCATATGTCGACCGATAGAGAGTTACTATGAGGGGGATTTGAAGAGCACCAAAAGTCGCAATCGGGACCGAAGATAATAAACAAATTGGAGCAAGCATCCATGGTCTTTTATGAGAAAAGACAATGAACAACGTTGCCCCAAAGGCCACCATCATGGCAGTTGTAGATAGCATCAACGCACAAAGACCAATCATCAGTCGTCTTGGCAAAATGACTAGAAAATCTCTCTCATCAAAACTTCCTGTGAGGATCGACAAGAACATCAGTAATGCTGTGCTGGATGCAAATAGTGAGATTGAATCTGATACAGCAAAGATCGTGAAAGCTATTTCTTTTGTAAACACCGGGATGCCTGTTTCTTGATTGCTTCCACCTGGTACTGTAATGGCTGCCGCAAACACAATTGTGGTAATTAGTGCTGCAGTGATGCTGCATGATTCTGCTACTGCTTTCATCCACTTTTCTGCTTCCTTCACCATATTTTCGTGCTCCCTTCTGAACACCTTATCTGGTGTCTCTTTGAAAGTGTTATCTTTTATAGTGCCAGTGGGAAACACGAGCTTCTCAATTTCCTGTAAAATATAAAACAAAAAGTAAATTACTTCCTTCCCTAGCTACAATAATGGTAAAGAATTCATTTTGGATGTATATACCTGGCGCCAGTGAAGCTCTTTTTGTAGCTGTAATGCTGGGCCTCTTCTATGTCTGAGTTTCTGAAAAGGAGGTAATCTTCCAACCAAGTGCAACATATTGTTCTTAGAAGAATCTTCGATCGTTCTGTAAACACTCTTACGCTCCCCAATGGTATGGATAAGGTTGTAGACTTTTTCTGAACGATGTATAACTGCTAACTGTATAACGTCATACCCACTCTCATCTTTATATCGAACTGCTTTAGGAGATCTCATTAAAATCTCATCAACAACCTCATAAATGTTTTGACGTGCAGCCTCAAGAACAACTCTATAATACAGAGGATGAGCATCAGGGAATTCCAACTTCTCTATTTCATCACATACCAATTTTAAAACTTCTTTTGCTGCTTTCTGTTCCTTCATTTTCTTCTCGATACGCTTAATTGGTGGAACTGATAGTTGGGAAATAATTGGTTCAAAACAATCATCAAACTTGTATTATATAGAATTAGTTAATTATAGTTTAAACGCAACTGATACAAATTGAGTCTTTATATACCTACTCTGGTTGCAACCTTCCAGAAGAGGAAATAAAACACAAAGATAGGAAAATAAAACATCAATATGAGTAGGTGAATCATGTAATAAATCCAACGAAGCATGGCTAATGGACCTGCATAAGCAGAAAACATTCATTTGTGATGTCAACTATATGATAAATTCTGGGGTTGTATTTACAGGTTATATATCAGTAGCTCAAATCTCAATGTGAAGTATAGTAGCAGTTGTCTACTACCAAAGATCAGGTCATCATGTACATCTTCTATTATACACATCATGTCTTTGCAGTAGTATACTAATACTTTAAACGAGTCCCTGGCTCTCATGACTATCCTTTCACAAATATCACCCATATCTGAAAGAAAAAATTAAACCATAATAAAAGAAGAATAACAAAGAGATTATATATCTCTAGCATATTAGAAACTTACTTGGATATATAAGCATTTCCCAGTAATCCAGCCCCATTGGAAAAGTTCTAGTTATTGCCAGAAGTATATTATCATTTTCCACAACAAATTCAGGAGACTTCTTGACTAACTGTGTTGCTAAGTCTACAAGCATATTTTAAAAACTGTGAATAATTAAAGTAGTAAATCTTAGAAACATCGTATTTCTGTCGGCTACGCACCATATTGCTTTGCAGTAACAGCATTAACAAGAAGGTTAACGCCTACTTTTACACCAGCCTTGGATTTTCCATCGACATCATTCGCAGCTTTCAACAAATATTCTATGGTGTCAAGATGCATATTTTCATAAGCTTTGTCTAAAGGTATTTCACCTTTATGGTCTGTAATTTCCAACAATCTTCTGTTTTTTTTTACCAAGAGTGATGCTGCTTTTGTGTTGCCAACGATTGCAGCTATGTGCAGGGGTGTGTTTCCATCAAAATTTCTCATTATCCGTAAGTTTACTTCGTCTGTAAACTCTAATAAATGTCTGAGTATACGGTTACGACGTAATCCAACGGCTATATGAAGCATGGTGTTCCCATCACTGTCTATGAGCTCTATGTCTGCGCCTTTACTCGATGATAGTTTGGACTCTACTTCCCTCCAATTTCCTTCCGCAATTGCTTGACGCAACTTCATGTTGCGTATGATCTTGTTTTTTCCTTTTCGTTTTATGTCTTCATCGACTGTTTGTATTTCGGATGAAATTGTGATATTCTCTTCTGACAAAACTTTATCTCCTATCTGTTTCTGCTTCCTTTTTCGATTGAGCTGAATCCATTTTAAAATTTCATTTAAATGACTATGCAACCATAACCCTTTATATATATATATATATATATATATATATATATATATATATATATATATATATATATATATATACTATTTTATAAAAGAAATCTTACTATTTCTATAAATAGATTAAATATAATAATATTATTTTTTAAAACGTCCAAACTGTTAAGATAATAGTACAAGTAATCAGCAATAAAATAATAATAAATTTGAAATGGTCCAAACTTTTAAGCTAAATATACAATTAGCCGATGCATATCTTTCTTTAGTTTTAACAAACTTTTGACCAACCTATTTTGATCTTTGATCGAATATTGGTTGTTGAATCCCAATATCTCGGATGATATGGGATTTAATTTTAAAATCCCCATTTTTTAGGCCTTATTGCCATATCTCAAACTCTTAAATCGGGTGAAAATGCAGTTAAAGATTATTGCTTCTAATTCTATTTCATGATCTCCTCCTTCCTTCCCCAATCACATACAATTTTTTTTAGGATCCATGATCAAAGGATATAAACTAAACGATGGTAACAGAGACGTTGCTCTCTAATCGTCCTCAAAAACCCATTGAGATGCATTCGAAAGCCATCCCACTTGCGCCATCGTCAGGCTTTCTTCTCCATGTCCTACTCATATTGATCAACCAACCACCACTACTTCAAACATTGTCGCCATAACATCACCGAGCCCCAACATCTATACACAAACACAACATTATTCTCGTATCTAACCACTTTGCTGCTTCTCCTTTTCAACATCATCATCGAGGTTCATTTTTGTTCTCTCCCCCTCTCTCTCTCTCTCTGCCTTCACTCTCTATTTTGAAAATACTTAAGAAGATCTTGACCGATCTATAAAATTTATTTCATCTTTTTGTTTATGATAATCATTCATGGCTGCAAAACACGTTAATCCTTCGTTATTTTGCAGATTTATAGGCTTTTGTTTTGGGTTTCTCTATAACACAATTTCGGGTATGATATTTATTTTGTGTTCCTTATATGTAAGCCTTTTTTTATTTCTTATATATTTTAATTTAGATCTCACTGGATCGAACTGCTATTTCTTAGCAGATCGATTTTAGATATTGAAAGGAGTTTGTTATAAGCTCAACATTGGCCTCTCTACATATGGATTTTGATTTAAATAACAACTTTGCAGGTTTCTTGGATTCTAGACACATGTTCAGTATATATGTTTTCATCCTTAATGATAATATTCCAAAGTACCCATGTTTGAAATTGGCACTTTGATTGTGGTAAGCTACTTTATTATCATTTTTGTTGGTTTTTTGGTTATTACACAAGTAAATTTCATAGATTTTGGTTATTATTACTTAGCGATTATTCATCACTCTCTCTCTCTCTCTCTCTCTCTCTCTCTCTCTCTACATGTTTCTATATTGTTATTTTAGAGTCACATTATATTACTAGCGTCTCTTTTATGTAATAGTTTGCTATATCTAAATTTTGAAAATATTGGTACAAGGTTACTATGGAGTCTGGTGCACACACATAGGCCATCAGAATGGCTTGATGTTGATGGTTGGTATTTGGCAAGAATTCTTTGTGACCTTGTGTATTCAAGTTTGTGTGTATGAAGATACAAATTTAGTTGTATTTTGCAGGTTCAAACCAATATCAAGAACATAGTTTGTTTGATTTTATTTCCATTTTTTTATTTTGATATTTATGTCTAAAGATAAAATTTTAGTTTTTCTTTTATTGTGATTTTTCAACGAAATGGGTTTCTTTAAGGAAGATAGGTATCCTAGATGTTTACAAGCAGATTTGATTTTGATATCCGTTAAATTGTTACCATTTTTTTTTTCATTCTTTTATCCTCTGTTTATCTTTATCTTTTTTTTTTTTGGTTTTTTTTCTTTGTGCAAGATCAATGGCTTTTGATAGAATGAAAACATGATTTCTTAATGTAAGAGGTGAATAGAGGCAATACATTTAAAGATATTCAAGGGCATGGGGATAATGGTGTAGTAGTTAAAAAGCTTAGTAAATTTATCCACAACCTTCTCTTTCTAAGTTCCACCCCACTCCAAAGTTTATATATTTTCATGTAGATGTGAAGATTCTGAACTTTCACATTTTATGATAAATTTGATGGAGATCTGAGTTCCATGTAGCATTCTTGACCACAAGATCTGATGTTACACGAAATGATAGCATTTTTTACCAAAATTCTTATTGATTTCATGTAGCTTATTATGGTTGGATAAAAGGGTTTTTTTGATAGCCTTTTTGATTTTCTTTTTATTTGAAGTTCTGAACCATTTGGATTCTAACAAACTATTTTTTACAATCTTTAGCTTTTATATCTAAAATTAATATTATTTTGTGTATGTTTACGCTTAGTGTAAATGATAGTCATTTTCGTTCAATTATAAGAGGATAATGTTACTTAAAATTAAAATTTAAAGTTAGTTTTTTTTATATAAGATAAAATTAGTCAAATTTGTTTCGTTGAAAAGATTTGATGTGTTTATGTCTTGTTTGAATAGAATATGGGTTTAATTACAATACCAAAAGATAAAGTTAATGTATATTTGTTTGTAATTTTGATTTCACATGAAGAATATGATTTTTTTTTTTTCATTTGAGCTTAATGTAAAAATATAAATTTCATTTTTTATATAACACTTAAAGTAATTAAAGGGAATAAAAACCCACCAAAAAGTCGAAATAAACTATCTAGCACCAAAGATCATTTGGAACAAATGTAAACAACAGGACAACCATGTCAAAATCTAATAGTAAGACTAGACACAATTTATTCTATTTTTTAACATAAAACTATGATACATACTTTTTATTCATAACAATAATATATTTTTATTTTTAACACAAAATAATCAAAGTCTTCATCTAAAAGCTTTAGAAAATATGGGATATGTTCGATGTGTAAAATGAGGTTGATGTTTTCGTACTTCATTTTTGTTTACAAGATGTTAAGGGTATTTGAAAATTATAGCATTATACTTCATTTTTTATAGATGTTTATGGCAATGATTGCATTGTGTTTCAATTTTCTTGTACATGTACTTTTTAAGTACATTTCACAGCATCAAGTGATATCATTTTCTATTTGTGTAAAAACACAAGGCTCTTGCAAAAATATTGTTGTAAATCATTATTTTCTATTTGTTTTTAACTACGGTTGTAAAGAATGGCTCCGTTTGTATCATCCATAAGTTACGGATAAGCTATGAAAATAAAAATATTAAAAGACAAATTTATAAATTCAATTTTTTGTATCGAAAAAAGACTTCAAACATGGGTTAAATTCCCACCAATTTTTTATTTTTTTTTATTTTTTCTTTTAATTAGTTTAGCTTAAAACAACCAACATAGTTAAAACTAAATACTTTAATTTCAAAAAATGGATCATAAAGTTTTTGTAAAAGAAAAACATATCGTCGAAAGAAATTATTCGTCGCCGCCGCTTTGCGCGGGTCTACCGGTAGTATATATATATTAATTTCAAAAAATGGATCATAAAGTTTTTGTAAAAGAAAAACATATCGTCGAAAGAAATTATTCGTCGCCGCCGCTTTGCGTGGGTCTACCGGTAGTATATATATATATATATATATATATATATATATATATATATATATATATATATATATATATATATATACATGCAGCGATATCTATTGTTAGATAATCTATATATGTACATGCAGTGATAATTATTGGATTTGTTTAGCAGATATATCGAAAGGTACCGAAAGTTCTTCATAAACTGGAGTTGCGGTTGTATGATCATAGAATGATTTCAGTTTCTCCCAGACATCTTTGGCACAATCAAGATCAACAACAGTGCCAAGGACCTCTTCGCTAATTGAAGCCAAGATCCAACCTTTGACAAGAATATTATATTGTTTCTCCATCTCTGGGCTCAAACCTCTTGGACTGGTAAATGTTGCATCTACAATGCCGTACAGATTGTAAGTCTCCATGAGGGAAAACATCTGTGTCTTCCACAGATGGTAATTACGGTAGCTGGAAAGCTTCACAGAGACAAAGTTAGAAACATTAGTATTTGATGCATATAAGTACTTTAGGTCTTCTTGTATTTGTGCTAAAGCATGTGGAGGAGGATGGATTGATGAGCTTGCCATCTGAATGAAGAATAGATCTGAATGAATGCATGCAGTTAACATCTTCATGGTTCATATAAGGCTTAAACAGGTTTATATTGTATTCGATACTTGCATTGTTTAGTCTCCGCTTTATCTTTTTACACTCACTTTGTGTTTGCCAGAAGATACTCCTACACAGATAAGGGCATTAAAGATGAATAAAGTACGATTATATTGTATTGGATACCTGAATTGGATACTATCTGCTTTATCTTTTTTTAATAATTACTTTATTCTAATGAATCTTGTCAATACTAGGATTATATTGGGCAGGTGGGGGTTATGTCGGTGGCGTGGAAAACGTGTGCATGTATTTCATTTGGGTCCTGAACTCCTGATATTTCCGGTTAACATTTTTATCTTTCCACTTAAGAAATAAATGTTTGGACCTTTTTGCCTCTGAATTAATATTGGAGGTATAAAGAAAGATCGTCTATATAACACGGGAGAAATAAAGATTATCCATAAACACATTCAATTATTATTTTTAACGAAAAATTCAAAAAGTTTAAAGTAAAAAAATTGTGATGAAGTGGCGACTTTACCCTTTTACAAATTGTGGATGATTTTTAACTTTGGCAAGGAGATTTCCCCATGTACAAAGTGGTGATACTTGAATTACAGTCCCATTCCCTGTCCCATGTGCAGAACGTCGACAATTTTACTCTTATGCACAAAAAGGATGGTTCCAATGTGATAGATCACCATTGCTGATGCTGGATACTTTTGTAGAAGTACATTAGTATTCTTGAGATCTTAAAGAACAAGTGTATTTAAAGATTTTGCAAGATCTAATGTGGTTGTTCTGGTGTAACCCTTATTTTCATGATCAATGCTGGCTGCTTGAAGTTGCTGGTTCCTGCCACACCACTAAGCACACTCGAATGCAACTAAATTATGGTTCACGAAGAAATAATCCAAGGATGGAAGTAACCAAGACAAAAAGAACGAAGAGCAAAAGAAGTAATCCACACCAAATACTTGGGTCAGCAGATCGAGATTGGCTCTACACTAACAGCCTCCACGAGAGAAAACTACTTTGTCTTCTAAAAAAAATACAAGCACATCTTTGGATGGGAGCAGGGGGATCCAAAACCAAACTTAACAGGGGTTCCATATATGGAATTTTTCCAGCAAAATTCTGATTTATTAGGGTTATTTTTGAAATATATAGGGTGTACCCACTTCCAAGTCCGGCCATACACCCCACTAGCCATAGCTTGCATCCGCCACCGGATGGGAGCCACAGATATGGTTGGAGTAAGTCATGACATCATCGAGCACCTGAACATCTACCCCGATGACAACATAATCAAACAAAAAAGGAGGGGGCAAGATGGAGAGAGAAACAAGGCAATCAACGCTGAAGTCACTAAGTTAGTTAAAACTGACATCGTACGAGACGCCATCTTTCCAACCTGGATTGCCACCTGGTCATGTTCAAAATCCACGACGACAGATGTCAAATGTGCGTCGACTACTTAAATTTGAATAAAATATGCCCAAAAGACTATTATCCCCTCCCATAGAGAGATCTGAAGGTAGAATCGTTGGAATGTTTCAAATGAAAGTGCTTCTTTGGACGCCTATAATGGCTATCACCAAATCTTCATGAGAAAAGAATTAAGATGAAGAAAAAAACATCATTCTACACAGACCTCCACATCTATTACCTGAAGATGTCGTTCGAGTACAAAAACATCAAAACAACGTACCAACACCTCATCGACAAGATATTTAAAAATCAAATCAGAAGAAACATCGAGGTATACATCGACAACATGGTAATCAAGAGTGCAAACGACACTGCCTTGTTATGAGATGTTAAAGAAACCTTCAAAACGATGGAAAAATTGATGATGAAGCCCAACCCCGCAAAATGCATATTTGAAGCTAACGAATGAAAATTTTGGGGATACTACATCAGAAGACAAGGCATACAAATGAACCCTAGCAAGATCAAAGACCTCCTAAAAACACACATGTCCCGCAACTTGAAAGATATGCAAGGCCTCAACGGGAAGCTAACCGTAGTAGGAACATTCATAGAGAAGTCAATAGAAAGAGCAATACTGATGTTCCAAACCTTGACGTCATGTGTCGATAAAAAAAAAAAACTTCAAATGGACATTGGAAGTTGATTGTAACACCCCGAATCCTAGGTATGAATTTTATATCTTCTTGTTCATATTTAAAGGTCTACTCGACGAGTTGGATGCCCCAACTCATCATATAGGAATGTATCTGGTCGTGTGACTTAAGTGACCTACTCGACGAGTCGGAGGACCCAACTCGACGAGTAGGAGCTGGAATATGAAACGCTAATTTCTAGGGTTTTGCACCCTATTGAAAGGGTCATTAGCCTCCCTCAGCCTCCCTTACTACCCCTCTTGAGCTCAATAAACCCTAATATCGAATCCTCTCCACTTGTGGTGTGAAAGAAGCTTGGAATGTGATTTTATGAAGAAAGACTTTGAGCTTGAGGAACTTGGAGCAGTGAGAAGCTTATGGATCTGACTCTACTTCACCTTGGCATCATTTTGAAGGTAAGAAGTCATTGCATTGTCTTATCTTTAGCTAGAACTCTCCATGCAAGAGTATAGGGCCATCTTTAGGATGTTTGGGGTTCATTTTGGGTTTTAGACATGATCTGAAGTTGCAACTTCAGATCTAGGCTCCTCTAATCCCCTATAGTCATAAAGTTCTGACCTTTATCAAGTTATGGCCTTCTTCTCACCTAGAACTTCTTCTTTAGCTTGGTTTTGTCCCTTAAGACCTTGCATGCACGTAAAGTTCGCAACTTTATGTGGTATCTATGCCTTAGGAGCTTAGATCTGCAATATGGAGCTTTGGGGTGGCTTAAAAACATCTAAATGAGAAATAGACTGAAGGGACACAACGAGTTGGATGGCCAACTCGACGAGTCTAGATGGGTTTTCCGGCTTTCTGGATTCCGCATGGACTCGACGAGTCAGTTAGCGTTTCCCCGACATTTGGACACTGCATGGACTCGATGAGTTGTCTGGAAAGTCAGCGTGTCGACTGGGATTGTCACGATTCTCTAAGTTCTGAAGGAACTCGACGAGTCAGTAATCTGCACTCGACAAGTCAGGTCAACATGTACTATTGAGCTTGACCTTTGACTTGGACTTTGACAAAGGTTTGACCAGGTTGACGTTTGAGGGCATTCTGGTAAATTAGGTATTTATAAAAGTTGATCATTGGTGATTATAGGTGGTGGGATTCGTAGCAGTGATTTGGGAGTTTGATTTTATCGCCACAGTTTGACATTTGCAAGATGAGTTCTCACTATATCAACAGGGTATAAGACACCAATACTGGCCCTTACCGGATTTGAATCCGGTTTATTTGCATGATATTTTTATTGATTTGTTAGATCTACATCCTGGTAGTTCGGATGGTGATATGTTAGTGATCGGTTAGTTCGGTATCCTGGTTCTAGGATGTTGCTATGATTAGTGATATGTTAGATCGGTTTTACTTTTATATACATGCTATTTTTTATATGATATTTATGTGCACATGATTGTTTGATTGGGGTTGGGTGGAGGCGGTCCTGCTCATGCTGAAAGCCAACAAACCCAGGGCAGTCCGGATAGACTGAAGGCCTACGAGGCGGTCCAATCAGACCGAAGGCCCGGTGAGCGATCCGGATAGGTTGTAGGCCCTGCGAGGCGGTCCAGACGTACCAAAGGCTTGGGAGCGGTAAAGATAGGTTGTAGGCCCTGCGAGGCGGTCCAGTCAGGCTGAAGGCTCATTATGCATGCTATTTGTTTATGATATGATATCTTTTATATGAGGTTGGTATTTTGGGGGTGACTCACTAAGCCTTTGTGACAACCCAAGTTGCCCCGTTACCTTTCTCCGTTACCATTAATGGAATATTGCACTGTTCAAAAGTTCCGTTAATGAGAAGTCGTCAAGTTTAATAAACATTTCAATTGTGTATGTTTACATGTCGTTAAGTCGTGATAAAAGGAAATAAAAATACATAACACACATTTCCATTTATTTGGAAAATGTCAAGTTTTATTATTACGACCACTAAATCGGGTGTGACCAAAAGCCCCGTTTAACGGCAGTATCGGGTAAAATCCCACTGAGCCCCGACTCAAAACCCTATATAAGGGTGAGTGGAGTCTATTGGAGACTTTTTACACTCTCTCTCTAGACCCGTTTTCGCCCCGAATCCGCAACCAAACGCTTCCAAATTGTAAGTCCGCTTACCCTAGCTTGTTCTAAACATTACTAGCTGTAGTTATAGCCCAAAAACCATCCAAGAAGGCATGGGATAAGGAGTTTACGGCCCAGGAACACTCTAGGGCCGTAAACCCCTAAAATGGTGCCAAACGTGCCTCTAAACTTGTCCTTAAGCTTGGAAACTAATTAGGGATCTAGCCTAGGAGTGTTTAAACATCAAAACTCAATGACTTGGGGCATAAAAGTGATTTTACGGCCCAAGCACATTCTTAGGCTGTAAACCCCTCAAAACCTTGCCTAAATGCCTCCAAAACACTCCCAAACCACACTAGGGCTTAACACATAAATTAAGGGCTTATTCCTTTGGGTTTAGATCACTTAAACACGTCAAAATGAAGGATAAAAATGAGTCTACGGCCCAAGCACATGCTTAGGCCGTAAACTCCCCAAAACATGCCCAAAAGGTGGTTTTTGCCCCCCCCCCCCAAATGACCTTAGTCTATTTCTATAAAATGCTAAGAAGGATTTAAGGACTTAAACACATGAAATATAGGGGTAAAAAGGAGTTTACGGCCCAAGCAATTGTCTAGGCCGTAAACTCCCCAAAACACATCCAAATGATAGTTTTAACACTCCAAAATAGCATCACACTTCATTAGAAATCACTAGAAAGGCATTAGGGGCTTTAAACTTCACAAAACTCTAAGGATGAGAGTTTACGGCCGTAAACTCCCTTAGGAGTGGTTCCTTGGCCATAAACTCATAGAACATGCCCT